TTTCAGGTCCAGCACGTTTCTGTCCGAACATTGTCCGAACACCGCTGTTTGGGGCGGTTCCCGGTGGAATTTTTTGATGAAATGTTTTGAGCATGTTCCTCATCAAGTCTAGTTTATCCATACTAAATTTAAGCTTAAAATTCAATCGGGGAGGCAGTAAAATAATTTTTTGAAGTTAACTGTTTTTTTCTATGTATAATTTGGCGCAGTTAACTTCAACAAATTGTTTGACTGCCTTCGCGATCGAATTTTAAGCTGAAATTTGGTATGGATAAACTAGACTTGATGAGGAACATTATCAAAATATTTCATGAAAAAAATCCACATGGAACCTCCCCAAACGGCAGTGTTCGGACAATGTTCGGACCGAGGGATGCTGGACAGAAGAATGACTCTATACATATATATATTATATAGGGTGGTCTACAATCAACTTTTGAATGTAAAAATAATTTAGAACCACAATCAAATTTGATATTGATCAATGTTAATGAGGCAGACTGAAAAGAAAATGTAAGAAAATCTTAACAAAACAAAGGGAGTAATATATTTATGAGCTCGACTACTAACGTTGAAGCTTGGAGGGTTGATTACATTGAGAGAGTTTCTTTGGAATTCGCCAGAATTAGGCCGGAATAAGTGAATAACGCCGGTGACCACTAGGTCTAGCGACTGACCGAGAGCATTATTGTTTTGAGGTGACTGGCGTAGCGGCTTTGCTATTGTGTATTTTGGGCTATAGCCATGTACTGAGCTTGTTATTTTTTGTTGTTGTGGATAGTCAGGCTCAAGTTTGACAAAGAATTCATATGAATCGATTTTGTACACAGATTTCTAAAGGTAGTAAAGAGTCGAGCCTTCTGAGGTAATGTGCCCCTCCAAGATCACGAAGTTGGTTCCGCCACTGCTGTACTTATATGACACTTTATTGAGTACATGGTCTTATGTGATTATTTCATAATAGTAGAAGGCCTTATTTGACCCTTTTCTCTAAAGTAAATAGAGTTATAGCACGACTTTTACAAAATTGTCCAAGCAGTTCCCTGGATTGAGGTTTTGATTTTTGTTCTAGACACCGGGTTCGAAGTTTTGGACCCGCTTGGCTTAAGGTTTTGTGTTTAATTGTGAGTTTTACATAATTTCCGAGATTGTGCCTAGAGCCGTCAAAATGGGCCGAAACCCGCGGGCTGATCCGTTTAAACCCATTTATTGGTGGGTTAGGGTTGAAAATTTCTGACCCATTTAGTTCGCGGGTTTCGCGGGTCAACCCACGCGGGTTGTGGGTTTAAGTGGGTTGGCCCACCGGGTTGCGGGTTGGCCCGCGGGCCAATATACAAAAATATAGTTTTAAATTTGATTATCTTAAATATTATCCTTTTACTACCAATATTATTATAATTACAAATAAAAAATTACAACCATGGCAAAACAATATTTATTTCAATAATAAATATTCAAATAAAATGTTGAAACATATATTTTATGTGAAGTTCGATACAATATTTAACAATTAGTAGTCATTATTTACAAATAATTAATCAAAAGGTTTATGTAGATCTTTATTTTTATACAATGAGTATTTTAATTTGTCGCATACCCTCTTATAGTTTTCAAATTCTCGTATAACTAGTACTCCGTATTTAATATTTTTTAATTAAACCTAACAAGTATTGAATTTTTAGTATTTTGATTTTTTATATTTCCTTCGTTACTACTTACTAATATAAATTTATACTTCCGGGTAAATATTTTTAATTTTTTTGTTATATATATTTTTTACATATTGGCCCGCGGGCCAACCCGTTTAACCCACGGGTTAGATGGGTTGGGTTAGGGTTGTAGAAATTCTGGCCGGTCATTAAACGGGTTGGCCCGACCCTTCGGGTCGGGTTGGGCCGGGTTGACCCGTTTGACAGCTCTAATTGTGCCATCCCAGGTTAATTATGGGCAGGGTCAGGCAGGGTCAGGCAGGGTTAGATGGTAATTCCGGTTTCGGACTTATTAGCAGGTTGATGGTCTATCAGACCGGATTGGTCTCCGGTCTGGGTCTACCCGCCCGGGTCTATCATAGTCGTTTTTCTTGCTCCAAGACTGATGATTCTATTCACAATCTCTATTTTACCAACCACATCCACAAACTTCGTATGCGAAGTCGCAAACTGCAACCATGGTCGTGCTATCAAACTGCCCCAAGAGTGTGAGCATAGCAAAAATTTGAAGCCAAAAAAGAAGATCAAGTAAAATTCCAGAACTAAGCTACTAGAAGCTATTGCAAATGCAATTCCAAGTCTTGGTTGCCACCTAAAAAGAATGAAAAATCAATTCAATGATACAAACTTATAGGGTTTATCACATCGTGCATTGATGTTTCCAAACTCCATATTCAGGAAACCCGCATATATGTGTGAAATCCCTGTTGTTTAGTAATGGTGAGTGGTTTTGTGGACACATGAGAGTCATTGGCAGCCATTACCACACTTTGAATTGTTAAGGTTCTGTCATCGCACGTGGGGCGGATCCAAGAATGTGAGATGTCCTGAGCTGAATAGGAATTACACTAGACTTAAATATTAACCGATGGGCTATATGTGAAAAATGAAAAAATTACACTTGCAAAATTGAAATTTTTCTAAGTTGTCTTATGCTTCAGCCCACTGTAGCTTGTACATAGATCCTCTCCTGCGCACGCTTAAAGAATACATAACTAGGGCACAAGAGGAATTATGAAAAAAATGTGGTTGGTTAGTAAATAAGAGGTTGTGAATAGAATCATCCCATATTAATTTAGAACAAACCCAATTAGCACAAAACGTTATGTTATTTATTCAGAGTACATTATTATTATTATTATTATAACTACTATTGTTATTACTATTATGACTCGTCATTTTTATTTTTAGTGGTAGATGTTATTTATATTACTGTATTAGGAATATTAAAATTCCTGTTGTCACACTCACCATTTTTTGTTCGTTATGGGGATTTTTATGGGTCGTTCAGGTCTGGTTTTGACTTATTAATTATAGATATTTTTGGTGTTCTCAGTTAATTACTTAAAAATATTAAAACTTGTTAATAAATCCTAATAACTTTTTCTAAGAGGTTCTACAAATTTGATTTTAAATCAAAATTCACAATACAAATCGAACGGCCACAAACAATTTCCATAATTCACTATGAGACGTGTTGCGAAGAAAAGTCAAATGTGCATAATTGTAAATAAAATTATGAGAGCTCACACATAATTGTAATATGGTTTGACTTGGAATCTTATATGTATATAACGAGTCAACACATCAGATGAAATCTCAATTCTCACCAAGGGAAGATGAGGAAGGTCTTGCTCCTAATGATTCTTTCTACCTTCACGGAGTTGCTCAGCGACTGAGAAGGAAGAGGATGATACTGAAGGTAGCGGGTTCGTGTGGTGTGAGGAGCAGCCTGAAAGGTGATGTAAGTTCTGCTGGATTCGTCCTTTAGAGCCAGTACTGACGAGACTGACTGTGATCAGATCCGGATTTAAGGGGCTTTGGAGGGTAGTTTATAGACTCCAGGATTATGGGAGCGTAAGCCCCGACACCTGGATTTAAAAAAAAAATCTTAAACTTGGGACTCACTGCCTCACTCATTGGAGCCACCTATGAGAATGCGTTGTTTTCACATCCTTATACCAGGCCGGTGAAAAGGTGAGCAGCTCATGATGTGGTAAGGGTTACTCTTGTGTGTGAAGAAAATTTAAGTAATCAATAGCTGAAACATTTGTGGAAGGCAACGCGATCTGAAATCAGTTATAGTGAAAAAGTAGATTTGGTGATGACACAATTAGTAATAATGAGTATTAAAGAAAACGGTTTGATGTAATTTTAGACAGTTTGCTTCACTATGGACACTTAAAACATCACGTTAAAACCGTTTAAATTAAGGTAGATTCTATGTTACCGGTACCGTACATTTGTCCACATGAACCAATCAGAATGATGTATTTGAATTATTTAAATAGGTACTGTAGTTGTCACCTTAAATTAATCCCAAGTGACATTTATAACAAGTTAATAAATGTATAAAATCAAGAAAGGTAGGCAATAACAAATTAAAGCATACTAAAAGTGTGTTTCGTAATACATAAAACCTGTAGTATCACAATTGATTTTATCGGTTGAATTTGCTAGGATATGGATAAATATATATTTAAAGAGGCAAACCTGTAGTACCCGGGGATAGCTTATCCGAGGGGTTATTACGAGGAATAACTAGAGAAAGTCAGAGCAAGTAAGTAGAGAGAGAGTATATTAGAAAGTGTATTCAGCGTATTTGCCTCTTGGTTACAAATGGGGAAATGGGGTGCTATTTATAGTAGCAATAAATGCTGGACAGGGACATGTGTCAAGCATCCATTGGCCGAGGGGTCACCTCAACTGGTTGGCGCTGGCAACCGCATGTGGCCGCATTTAATGCGGCTGTTGGATGTGACGTCGTACTTGGTACGGTGATCTATACGCATGTGAAGCGGATATTATGTCGGAAAAGGTGCCCTCGGCTGTAGGTGATCAGCCGAGGGCTTTGGGTACCGGGGACCTCCTTAGTGCCGAGGGCTCCAGGTGCCGAGGGCTACTGATTTTCGCTGTTTTCTCCCAGTAACTTTGTTTTCCTGTTTTGATCCTTCTGTGAGAATTGGAGCCTTCGGCCAGGGGGGCGAAAGCACCCCTGGTGCGCACTGTGGGCCGCTTGGTACTCTGGGCGCTGTGATTTGGGCCTGTTGTGCTTCCTGGGCCTGTTGGGCCTTTATTGGCGTAGTAGGAGTCTGTGGACCGGGGATTCCCGGGCCATATACTCCATCAAAAATATATACTCCGTATAAAAAATAACGAAAAATGGTCTTCTGCACAATAGCTCTAATATATTTATTCAAAAAGTAGTTTTAATAATATTTTATTACATAATTCACGAAATGACGTTAAAAGGTTGATTAATGATAAGTTAGAAAATAAAACGTGTTACAAAATACAAACGTGTAACAATATAAAACGTGCAATATGAAGCTATGAACCAATGGAGTAAGTTGATCGATCGGGTTACAGAACCGTAATGGCTTCCTTGCCTTCTTCACACACAGGCTACAGATTCCAGGCATTTCCGAATCTCCACAGTTCTCAGTTTCTTGCGCCCCACACCCGGTTAAAGCTGAAGAAGGCGGAGCTAGTCGCGCTTCCTCTCGTGCGATTCAGTAACCTAAGAATCCGCAGAATTCACCCCCGACCTTTCATCTGCACTGCTCAATCCAATTTCCTTAAAGGTAACAACATGTATTGTTCTTTCCTACAAAGGCGTGCTCAATTGATTATAAATTTGTGCTGGATAGTTCACTAGTGGTTACCAGTACATGTTTCTGTTAATGGAGATTTGAATTTTGATGTCCGAATGGGAGTGTCCAGTGGCGCCAATGAAGGGTGCAGTTTGGACTTTCAGATTAGGATTCAGTAACATTAATTGGAACTGGGCGGGTTGTGTGCAGTTTGAACAGTATTCATATACTGTCATAGGAAGGTTTTTAGTAATTGATTTTCACAGGAGTAGGGTATCAGAATTTAGGATTGGATTGGGTCGGATCGGGTTGATCATGATCGACCGGGCTATGAGATTGAATCTAATCGAGTTTACCCAAGATTCCATATTTGATTCATTTCGATATGATACTTTACAGAGAGGTTTATGTTAGTCAGGGATCCGTTTTAATTTGACTTAGCGCACTCATTGTATGGCTACATAGATGTACTTCTTTTACATTAAGTAAACTAAAACCAATCCAAACCGAAGTAAGCTCACCCAATACTGTCTCACTCGAAAGTAGAGTATGAGGAGTGTGCAAAGTGTTTAGACTTCACCCCAGCCCGTAGGAGTAGAGATGTTGTTTCTTTCTTTTGTGTTAAATAGCCTTTACTTTCTTTTATATGAAACTCCACTATTGTAAATTCCTTTGATTTACAACTTGGTGCTAAAAAAGTTTAATTTTCCTTATTTTGCAAATAGTTGTGCAAACAGTTTGGAACGTTGGCAAGAATGGGATTGAAGCTGGAACTAACATGGTGCCGGTAAACAAATATGCGTCTATGGGACGTGACTTTAAAATAGTAGAACTTTCTGTAGATGTTTGTCAATGATATGATTTGCATATGTGTGTGTCAGGATCCTATCCCAAGACCAATTGCAAAGGTATCGGTTGCATTAGTTGCAGTTTCCCTTGCATCTTTTGTACTCAAGTCATTCCTCTCTACTGTCTTCTTTGGACTGGTATGTTTATTGTCTGATCGGTAGTGTCCTTACCTCTCACAATGTATTCATTGCAGTAACATTCTGCTCATCAGTCTATTACATCTCATGTTTTCATTAGGCAGTAAATCTAAGTTACACACTTTGTTCTTCCATTGCACTACATCTTTCTGTTTAAATACTTTTACTTGTAGATATATGCATGACTTAGCCATATAATAATTTGGGGCATTTGCTTGTGGTGAACAGGCAGTGATGGGAGTTCTGTATTTTACCTTTCTGGCTTTAACGAAGGATGAAGGGCCAATTGCAGATGGAGAAGTGAAATCAACCGAAGATAGTTTAGAAGAAGCCAGGAGAATAATGGAAAAGTACAAATAACAAATGTAAGGGAATTATTATTTTTTCCTCATGGTCTAGGTCATAAAAATATGGAGGTTTTTTCTTTAAATATTAGTAATAGAAAATTTACGTACAAAAATGTGACTAAAGTTACTATGAGTGTGCTTTTAATACAGAGTATTAAATCACATTTTTGTTCGTTATCTTTATATTGGTCATGTATTAGGATTTATTTCTTTTATGTATCTTCTAACAATAAGTCTGACCTCATTTCACTGACTAATTTTTAAAAACAGAAACCAATCCAGGAAATGTAATTAATAATAATGGTGCAGAACCATTTTTGGGAAGGATGTGTTACAAGAAAAGTGGTGGCATATCGCATACACTCATTGCACCACATTTGAATCTGTAACTCACGGCAGATCTTTAAATAATCACCCATCATAAGATTCATAACACAATTGATAATTTGATACATGTCCTTCAGTTTTCTTTCTTAGTTTGAGAGCTGAACAAAACATTTTTGTTCTACTTTGAGGCTTTTACTAGGATTGTTTGTATAATTGTATTCATTCGAATTTGGTGGCGTTCCTCATTAGGTCTCCAGCACTCTTCAATAATCGTGTTGTTCCTTGAAAAGCCTTTCACTTCCTTCAACAATCATGCTCTTCCTTGAGAAGCTCTCTTCTTCCATTTAATGTGTCACTAGCGGAAAAAATCGATTCCGCAGTGGTTTTAACTGCCACAAAAAGCCTCACCACAATTTGTATGTGCGGCGGTTGTTTCAGCTGAAATTGTTGCGATTTTTTTTAATTCGTGGTGGTTATTAACTAACACCACTGCATATTTTGAATTTTTAATTAAAACGCATGGCGGTTATTAACTCAAAACCGCCCTAAATCTGAACTTAACAAATGATTCAGCTCATCTAAACCCAAAATAATTTGTTTTACTCAAGATGATTCATGAGCATACATCATATTTGCATATTCCACCTCATATTTGCAAATAATTTGTTTTACTCTTTGACTCCAGGTTTTTTCAGATATATAGTCATTCTGGCGTTAATACTATGTACTCCCTTTGTCCAAATGTAAATTTATTCTTTCCTTTTTTGTTCATTCCGATATAAATTCCTTTTTCCTTTTTAGACAAGAATTTGTGATTCATAGCATTTCTCCACTCAGTGGCGAACTCAAAGGGGGACAAATAGGGCTGTCGCCCACCAATTACTTTTTCCGAAGTATTTTTACCCCAAAATTTTAATCTATGTATTTTTATGTATTTTTTTTTTGCACGGCCGCCCCTCCTAGCAGGAATTCTTGCATCTGCCGCTGTCTCTACTTTCTCTTAATGGTATATTAGAAAAGAGTAATTAGGTTAAATGTATGTTTCAATTATGAAATGATGAATGTAAAAAAACTGAACTTGCAATCTCTGGTGCGTATTTTTTATTCCATTAGAATTAAATGGAACTGAATTTTGTATTCGTATGAATAGTATATATTTTCACACTACAAGACATTAGCTGTGAAAACTTCAAGACAGACAACAGCTTATAGTCACATAGTCAATCATTTTATCCCTAATGTTTCAAGTGAAAAAAAATCTTATGTTGGGATGACACTTAAAGAGTTGAGCTGACTTGTATAAGTTTTCTAGTATATATGCTGAGTTGCCAAGAGTTTTCTAATCTTATGGTTGGATTTAGTGTTCGCAAAGATTGTTTGAAGACAAATAAAGTCAGAGTAATTACAGGTAGGGTGTGGTGTTGTTACAAAGAGTGTCTGAAACAAACTCAATGTTGTGGACAAAACATCCGCATTGGATGGAAGGCAATGTTGGGTATTTTTAAAACTCAAAACGTAGCATTTTTTAAAGTGTATCACTTTGAGAGTTTGAGGAAACACATAATCATTGTTGTGAAAAGCCAAGCAATAAAAAGTTTTCTCAACTTTACAAGCTAACAATATCTCAATCCCTTCCTTGAGTACGAGTGTATTTATTTCCGAATCTAATGGTATGGCCGTATGGGTGATGTTGGGTTCCTTGAAACAAATTGAGAAACAATGTTGTAGATGAGGAGTTAAGAGAAGATGATGCAAACAAAATTGTATTGGCTTTGTAGTGATACAGTTGGTGTTTAATGTACAATAGAGTATTTTAAAGTCATAAATATTGTAGAGTACTCTGAAAAAATCGTCATTCCTATCACTTTTTGGTGATACAATTGTTGTTGATTTAATGTATAACACAAATAGTTACGAAGTTTTTTAGAATAAAACTTCACTTTCATTAATTCAAATTGTCATTGTTCAACTGACTGACAATATAATTAGGTGGACTACAAATCAAATAATAATCATCCGACATAGAAAGGGCAGCCTGAGCAAGCTTATGAGCTACCACATTCGCGGACTTCTGACAGTGCATGACTTCTATCCTAGCTTCATTACGAAGACTGAGTCCAATATCCTCTATCAAAGTATCAAAGTAAGCATCTACATCTCTTCTTGCCATCCCAGACACTACCAGTAGGGAGTCCGTTTCCACTTCGACATCCTGCCAACCTTGAGCTTGAACCCACTTTATGGCCTCCCGCACTCCCATTACCTCTGTTATCCCTGCCGTCTAGTTGGCTTCCCTCGTTTGCCATCCTTCCTTTATGAAATTCCCATGCTCGTCTTTTGCCACTCATGCCCAAGCTCGTCTATTCCTTATTAGATCCAGTGCCGCATCAACATTAACTTTGATGCTTCCTGGTCTTGGCTTCTTCCAGCTCACGTGTCGCTTCTCTGCACTCGGTCTACTTCCCGCCTTTTGAGCTTCCTGCCATCCTTTGAGGACTGCCGATCCAATCTCCAGACATTGCTGCCAATTGCCTTCCTTATTCTTCCAAACTTTGATGCTTCCTGATCCTCACCTTGCAAATTTTCAAAAAAACTTTTAACCCAGTTAGTGAAATCTTCGCCCTGTCTGAGGAATCGGGTTCCCAGTTTTTGCCAAACTGTTTGTGCCACCTTACACTGTCGAAACAAATGTTCCTCGGTTTCATCGGCCTCCTCGCAAAGCTTGCATGTTGAATCCACGTCCACTCTCCGTTTGCGCAGGTTAATAGTCACGACTTTCTATTCACACTATTTGTTGGAGTTAATCACTTAATCATCATTTTTCAATTAATATTATTTGATTGTGCGTTCGTGAAAGAAAATTTTGAGACATTCTTATGATTGTGAAGATCGAGCGGAAGATCAATGGCTCAAAGTTTGAAAAAAAAAACACAATTATATTAATGAAACTGTAGCATACTTATGTGATAGATAAGCTGGATTTCTTGTCTTGATACACATTTAGGAAATGCATGTTGTACAATTTTTTTATTAAATTACATACCGGAGGCACTACATGTTACTTATATACCCTTCATAATTCATTTTAATAAATTCAAGATTCAACCTAACAAGGTTCTTTTAAAAATAAAAACCTCCATTCATTGGCAGCTTTGCCTCATTAGTTAGTTAAGAAATGTCAATTTACTGATTTCATTGCATAAAGAAATAATAACACTAATATTACTATTTGATTTTCAATGCACAAATATGAGACTAACCTGGACAAAAAAGTGATTATGCTAAATTGAATGTACAAAAGTATTCTTGTGAGAATTTAACCGTAATTCTTATCTCAGATTCTGCCTCTCTCCCGGTCTCCCGTGACCTCTGCAGTCTGCATCATCGCATCAACCACTTCATCGTCGATCCATTCCCAACATCACCTCCCCTACCTTCTCTCATGCACATCCACCTTTCCACAACCCTGCGACTCATCTTCATTGATCCATCCCATGCATCGCCGATCCATACTCTTCTCTCACAACCTCCCTCCCTCTCAAACATCTTCTCCATGAAGTTCCAAACAACAATAGCGGTGATGGTGATGATTTCAATAAAGATAATGATGGCCAAGGCGACAATCCTACCAGCAATGGCGGTAGATCAACGAGCATCAAATGTTGTAGATTGACAATTGTTCATCAGTACCCTCTTCTATTCCGACCATGGGGATGTGTTGCGGTCTTGCGGATCATGTCAAGGGTGGACCGGTTCCGGTTCGGGCCCGGCCGGGCCTCGATTCATGAAGGGGGAGGCCCATAGCCGGCCCGGGTAACCCTCGGGTCCGGGTCGGGTCTCGGTTCTATTTTTATTTTATTTTTGGCGTTTCCTAGTTAACCCCAAACCCTCCCCCTCACCCCAAACCAACCCTAACCACCTCAAATGGCCCAAATACCCAACCCAACCCAAAAACTTAAAAAAAAATCAAAAAAATAATAATAATAAATTGACCCGGCCCAGGCCCGAACCGGCCGGACCGGTTCACCTTTTGAAGGGCCCGAACCGCCATCCCATCGGGCCAAGTGGCCTGTACCGGGCAACCAGCCGGTTCACCGGGACGGTCGGACCTGCACAGTAGCGGGCTGGTCCGGTTCCGGGCTGGTTTGCCCGGCCCGAGTCCACTCCTATGCGGATGTGATGATGTGATACACTGCAGAGGAATTCATCGTGACTTTGTATTGGTGGCAGCTAGTATTCTGACGAGGTAACCTAGGCTGGATGAGGTCACTGCCTCACTGGTAACCGAGTAACTAGGATGGGGTTACTGGTCGCTAGGTAGTTGGCTACTAGACTGTGAGGATCAAGGTCACTCAGCATCAATCACATTAGTAAAGGGTATAAAAGTTGCTCGCATTTCTAAAATGAAGACAAGAGTCAAGTATGGTTGGATTTGGGCCGGGTCGGGCCCGGTCAGGCCGGTGGTTCTATATAGTTGGACCTGGGACCGGCCCGGGTAGCCACCGGGTCCGGTCCCGGTCCAGGCCAGGCCGGGCCGGGCCTCGGGTTTGTTTTTTTTTTTTTTGCTTAGATACCCATCCCTGACCACACCTCACCCCCCCCCCCCCCCCCCACTCCCCCAAACCCCCAAACCCCTCCTAAACATCAAGCCCAACCCGGTGGAGCCCAAACAAATGAAAAAAACCAAAAACAAATTAAATTTGGTCCGAACCGGGCCCGGCCTTGTTATGGGTGACCCGAGCCCGGACCGAAAACCCACCGGGTCAGGCCTACCCGGACCGGTCACTGACCGGGCCACCGGTTCGGGCCAGGCCGGAACAGTACCGGTTCCGAGTCAGGCCACCCGGCCCGAGTCCAACCCTAGAGTCAAGAGTGGCAATGTGGCATCACTACTTTGTTGAGATGCTTTATAACACA